AGCTCCCATCTCCTTCATGGCAAATTTCCAGATCTCTCTGAGTGCTTGAGGGGTGCACTCTTTGAAACCCACTCCATGGATGTGCCTGTGAAGGTTGATGGTGTATTCTCTGGTCACTATCTCATTGATGGCAGAATGTCCCTTGTTCTTCTCACCGCCCTTCTTTGTGGGAGTCATTATTGCCAGGGCCAAGTTGGAAAGCTCTCATTTTTAATTTTAGTAAATATCAAAATGCCCTCCAATGGGTTATATTAATTTTATTGCACCTTTCATAATTTAAAATAATTTTTAAGCTCAGAAAAAAATTCCAATCAATTAAAAATGAAAACCAGACATCCATAAAAGGAGTATAATTCACACATTATATTATGGCATCCCCAAATGTAATATGACCATGATTCCTAAGTCAGCCAGCATCTGGAACACGCTTGTCATAAGGGCTTCAGTGAAAGCTGCTGAACCAGGAAGGAGCCCTGGGCGGACCTTTCTTAAACTTGCTCGGGAAAATTAGATTCCAAGCATCTCTGTTGCCATCTGGTGGCAACTCCCCATTGGTGAAACCTCCTATGACACAATTTCCAAGAAGTCATTCATTCTAGTTAATTACTTCCTGTACATTATTCTGTATGAGGCATTATTTCATCATTCATGGTTATTAAATGCATTTTAAAAATTATTTTTAAAAATCATGTTACTTCTAAATTATTTCCATTTCTTGAAACAATTAGCTGACAGTGAGAGTAATTAACAAAAATATCCAACCTACATTTTTTAAAAAGACTCTTGTATAGAGGGGATCTCTTCTGTTAATCTTTTACTTCTACAGGAAGAAAGACATAAAACTGTATTTTCCTATTATTTTCCCTTTCACTATTTTATTTCCTAAGAAAAAAGTTTAAATGAGTCATAGAAACAGTTATTTGCACCCTCAAAACATCAGACACTGCTGGTGTCTTGCTTGTATCCTCCAAGCACTTATTTCTGAGTATGCAGACCCAAATTCCAGCAGCTAGCCCTCTGAGCCACAGCGCTCTCTTTGGTCAATGTAAGACAGGCTGAAAGTGCCAGGGGAATAATGCACTGCCCTGAACTGAAAGCAACGCTCAACCAGTGGCAGATGAGAGCTGGCGAATAAATAGTTACAGGTTGAATTGTATCCCCAAATATGTATATGTTGAATTACTAACCCCCAGCACTTCAGAATGTGGCTTTATTTGGAAACAAGATCTTTTCCAGGGGTAATCAAGTCAAAATGAGGTCATAAAGGTGGGCTCTCATTCAGTACGGCTGGTGTCCTTATAAAAAGGGGGGCAGGGAATTGGGACACCGAAACACACACAGAGGGAAGACAGCCATCTACCAGGCAAGGATGCCTAGAGCAGGTCCCTCCCTCACAGCCCACACAAGCAGCCAGCCCTGCCGACACTTTTATTTTGGAATTCACAGCTGTGAGGCAATAAACATCTATCATTTTAGCCACCTAATTTGTGGTACAGCAGCTTTAGCAAACTAAATACCCGGCTCCCTCACCTGCCCGGTGGAAGAACAGAGGCATGTGTTCTGTGCTATTTCCCAGGGGGGAGTCAGTTCATTTCCCACAGTGGCCACTATTTTTCATTTCTCTTCCCTTTTTGACTTCCCATTTTTAACACCCGTGTTCGCTGGACTCACTTCCTAGATAAGGGGATGAGGGGATGATGGCTGTTTGATCTCAAGTCCTTGTCTCTAGGCCTCCTTCTGGGATAACCCAAACTAAGACAGTATTAGAAATGGAGCTCAGATGTCAGGATCAGATACTGGAATTAGATTCATTCCCAGTAAGATGGTAAAAAGGGTCTCACTGTTTATGGAAGTAGAATGGTAAGAAACTCTAATCTAAAGCATCACAATTAGTCCTGATCGATTTGGCTCAGTGGATAGAGCGTCGGCCTGCGGACTGAAGGGTCCCAGGTTCGATTCCAGTCAAGGACATGTACCTTGGTTGCGGGCACAACCCCAGTGGGGAGTGTGCAGGAAGCAGCTGAATTGATGTTTCTCTCTCATCGATGTTTCTAACTCTCTATCACTCTCTTTCTCCCTTCCTCTCTGTAAAAAATCAATAAAATATACTTAAAAAAAATAAAGCATCACAATTATTATTCATCTATGGTGAATCAGGGTAGGATTCAGGGGAAGGGCAGCTACCATATAGAAGCACACATGCACAAAAATATGTAAGTATGGTCACTTGTAAGCATTGTTTTTATTAGTGGAAAAATTGAAAATAACAATGACCATCAGAAGTTGGTTTAAATAAAGTTATGGAACATTTAATTAAAGGAAAAATGAAGTAGAGCTATCTGTCCTTACAAGGAAATATCTCCAAGATTTATAAATGAAAAGGTCACCAGTGCCCTAAGTGGTTTGGCTCAGTGGCTAGAGCATCAGTCTGCAGACTGAAAGGTCCCAGATTCGATTCCGGTCAAGGGCATGTACCTTGGTTGCAGGCACATCCCCAGTAGGAGGTGTGCAGGAGGCAGCTGATTGATGTTTCTCTCCCATTGATGTTTCTAACTATCTCTTCTCCCTTCCTCTCTGTAAAAAAATCAATAAAATATATATTTTTAAAAAAGGTCACCAGTAATATATGCATAGACATTGGCTATCTATATCATAAAAGGCCTGTGGTTGTGATGCTGTAATGGCGGAACGACCAAACAACCGGTCACTAGAAGGTGCATGGAGCACCTCTTGCGGGGCCAGGACTTGCAGCTTGCACGGCGAGGTGGGGCTCATGCGGGGCTGGCAGGACTGGTGTGGCAGAGGTGGGGCCTGTGGTTCACACGGTAGAGGCGGGGCCTGCGGCTCGTGCAGGGCGGGTCTGGGGTCCCACAGCTCGCACAGGGTGGGTCTGGGTCTTGTGTGATTTCAGGCGCTGGGCCTCTAGTTTCAGATATTTGTACATGGGTAGAAAACGTGTGAAAGGAAGTACACTGCACTGTTAATAATGGTTAACTCTAGGGTGAGGAGTGTTAACTTCTTATTAGATACTAGAGGCCCAGTGCACAAAAATTTGTGCACTCGGGGAGAGGGTTGTCCCTCTCCCTGACCTGTGCCCTCTCACAGTCTGGGACCCCTCAGGGGATGACCACCTGCTGGCTTAGGCCCACTCCCCAGGGAATTGAGCCTAAGATGGCAATCAGACATCCCTCTGGCAGCACAGCAGCCCTCGGGGGATGTCCACTTGCCAGTGGGGAGTAGGCCTAAACTGCAGTCAGACATCCTTAGTGCTGCTGAGGAGGCAGGAGAGGCTCCCACCACCACCTCTGTACTGGCAGCCATCAGCCTGGCTTGTGGCTGAGCAGAGCTCCTCCCATGTGAGAGCGCCCTGACCACCAGAGGGCAGCTCCTGCATTGAGCGTCTGCCCCCTGGTGGTCAGTGTGTGTCATAGTGACCAGTCATTCCCAGTCTTTCTGCTATTTGCATATTACCCTTTTACTGTATAGGATAGAGGCCTGGTGCATGGGTGGGGGCCGGCTGGTTTGCCCTGAAGGGTGTCCCGGATCAGGATTGGGGTCCCGCTTGGGTACCTGGCCAGCCTGGATGAGGGGATGATGGCTGTTTGCAGCTGGTCACACCCCCTTCAATGTGGGGGTCCCGCTTGGGTGCCTGGCCAGCCTGGATGAGGGGATGATGGCTGTTTGCAGCTGGTCACACACCCTTCAGGGTGGGGGTCCCCACTGGGGTGCCTGACTAGTCTGGGTGAGGGGCTGAGGGCCGTTTTCAGGCTGGCGGGTGACTGAAGCTCCCAACCTCTCCTTTTTTTCTTTTTCTTTTTATTCTGGGATTTATTTACCTTCTATGGCTGTCACTGGAGCTGAGAGCTGGCTTTAGCTCTGAGGCTCGGCTCCAGCTCTGAGACCTCGGCTGCTGAAAGCAGGTATCTGGTTTGTTTGGATTCTTTAATTGTAACACTGTTGCGGTCCTGCTCGCTCCAGCTCTGACGGCTGAAAGCAGGTTTCTGGGGTTTGTTTAGGTTCTATAATTGCAACATAGTTGCTTAGAGTGCAAGCTCAGAGGCCAGCAGCAGCAGGCGGGGAACCTTGGCTTCCTCCATCACTGGAGCAAGCAAGCCTCCTGTTCGCTTCAGCTTCCTGGCTGCCGGCCACTATCTTGGTTGGCAGTTAATTTGCATATCTCGCTGATTAGCCAATGGGAAGGGTAGCGAAGTTATGGTTAATTACCATGTTTCTCTATTATTAGATAGGATACTTCTACACTGCTTGCAGACACATTTAAGATACCAACAGTCAGCCCAACCCACGTGGCTCAGTGGTTGAGCATCGAACTATGAACCAGGAGTCACAGTTCAATTCCCAGTCAGGGCACGTGCCCAGGTTGCGGGCTGAATCCCCAGTGTGGGGCATGCAGGAAGCAGCCAATCAATGATTCTTTCTCATCATTGATGTTTCTATCTCTCTCTCCCTCTCCCTCTCTCTTCCTCTCTGAAATCAATAAAAATATATATTTTTTAAAAAGATACCAACAGTCAGCAGAGTAGCTCATAGTTACTAAATTTAACATGTATTTGGCTTTGATCCCTTTACACTCTTTATTTCTCTCTCCACTGGAATGTTCTCTTCTAGGTCACTATTCTTTCATATTTATTAATATGTATCACGGTCTCAGGATGCAGCTGGAAAAAGGATAGAAAGGGGCCCTGCTCTCATAGACGTTACGGTCTAGGAGGGAAGCCTAACCTTGAACAATTGATTTCAAGAGTGAATCGTGTAATAACAAGAAAAATGTGGGAAGGAGGAAGGGTACAGCAGTGGGGTCCCCGAGGACGTGGCCTTGAGGCTGGCACCTGAAGGATTAGTAGGACGTGGCATGGCACCAGTCTCCACTTGGACTCCCTCAATGGCAGTTTGTCCGTCTGTAGTCTAACCAGAGCAAGTGTGGCAAAGGGTCAAACAGCACTTGGGAGAGAGATGTGATTAAAACAAAAGTGCAAAGTAAGTCCCAAATCACCAAGAACCTTTATTTAACTTCTATCAAACTGAAAGAGCAACTAAAATAAAAATACTGTCAATTCATAAAACACGTTTACATCAATCACACTTACTAATAGAAAAGTGAAATCCCTGAGGAGTTGCCCACAATAAATAAAGCACTTAGGATGTGCTGAGTTCAAAGGAAAATGTCCTAAGACCGTTCAATTTGGGGAAGTCAATGGCCCTTTGCAAACTTCAATTTCTCAAAAGGATATCCAACTGCTGCAAGTTTCCTGTCATGACAAGAAGCTGCCACCTTCAATAGCACCTTACATGGAAAGAGGGAAAAGAATCCGGCTTCTTCTATCAACTTGCCCATAGCTCTGGGAAAGCTACTGCACAGCTCAGGGGAGGACAGCATTTGCCTTGTGGGAATGGAATTTTACGACATACTGAATAAGTACCGGTGCTATTTTAACTTGTCATGAACTAAAATGAACCGCTTTCTCAGTGCGCGAGTGTTGTACAAAGGGAACATAATCTCCCTGTTGCTTGTGGGGGACAAAAGAAGACCTGGGGTTTTTGTGAAAGGGTAAGGTTGATGCTTTAAAGAAGACCCGGGACGGAGGGCTGGCTTTGTAACTCTACATTTCTCTTCAATTAATAGTCAAAATATCACATTTCATTGATTCTAGGATATGCTTTTTTCTTTACACACTTTAGCATCTCAAATTCAAATGGGCTTGGCCAGTTAACTATCACAAGTTAACTGTCAACTCTCTCCCACCCTTCTTTCTTCGTGGTATATATAATAGTATATTTTATACTAGATGCTTCTTCATTCGATTAAATATGGTGCTGTGTAGTTCAAGAGACACAGTAAGTCACATAAAAATAAATCTGACATTTAAACTCTGGTAATTTTCCCAACTGAGAAGATGCCAGCAAAAACATTTGGCGTCTTACATTTCAACGTGAGCATCAGCGCCTCAGGAAGGGTTAGAGGAACACTGATATGGGCTGAGCTCGCACTCTAGTTCTGGTTCTGCCCAGAGCCAGCTGGGACAACAGTAAGGAAATTGATTTCACACTTTTGGGTCTCAGTTCCTCATCTGTAAAATGAGAAAGTATGATCAGAGTCTTCTAGCCAAAAAGGAAGGTGATTTTAAATCTTGCACCTTTGAGAGTGTGTCACTGTGGAAATGCCATAGCACACTGCCCCAGAGCCCTAGGATCTTCTTGTGCAGGCTGATGCTCAGACACCTCTCCAGCCATCCCCGTTCCCCATTCCCCAAGAGTCAAGGCTCCAGATCTGGATCAAGCAAGAAATGCAATTCATCCACAATTTTAGTAACTGATTGGGGAAGGGTCATTCTTGAGTCTAGGCCAGTTTGTCGACTTCTTTTAGAAACTGAAGAACTCTACTTGCTAAGTTAAACTAAATGTTTACCATGAATTTAAAATATCAAAGAATTACAGCAGGGTTCACTTCAAAGTCCTCATGATTGACATAATTTCTACGGATACGGCTTCTCTCAGTGCCTCCTTCCATGCCAGAGAAGCACCAGCCAGAAAAAGCTGTTTTCTGAAAGAAAATAACAAAGAAATGTCATTTGAATTAACCATTCACCTCAGCACCCTGCTCCTACCTTGAGATTTTACTCAACATGAATAAAGGAAAACAAATGGTAAGAAATGGGTATTCCAAATGAAAAATGAGATATGATAATAGCACCCATCAGTTTATGGTAAACTAGATGCCCAGTGCACGATATTCATGCACTGGAGGGGGGAGGTGCCCTCAGGGGATTTCTGACTGATGGCTTAGGCCCGCTACCCCTGGGGAGTGGGCCTAAGTCACAGCCAGACATCCTTAGCGCTGCCACAGAGGCAGGCTCCCACCACCGCTGCTGTACTTGCCAGCCGTCAGCCCAGCTTGTGGCTGAGCAGTGCTTCCCCTGTGGGAGTGCACTAACCACCAGGGGGCAGCTCCTGCATTGAGCATCTGCCCCCTGGTGACCAGTGCACATCATAGCGACCAGTCGTTCTGCCATTCGGTCAATTTGCATGTTACCCTTTTATTATATAGGATAATACATGTATTTATATTTTTGATAAACATTTTTTAATTCAAAAGTTATCATCTGTCTTGGGGATGTAAAGTACAGCATAGAGAATATAGACAACAATATTGTAACAACTATGTACAGTGTCAGGTGGGTACTTGAAATATCAGGGGGAACACTATGTACAGTATATGACTGTCCAACCACTATGCTGTACACAAAACCAGGAAGGGGGCAGAGAGATTGTTCCACTTCCATTCCTGCATCCTACCTGCCTCTCCTCTCATTCCCAGGAACACACTAAGATCAGAAATATGCAAAAGAAATAGAAGGAAGAGTATTTGAAGCTGTCAATGCTAATTGTATATTTTGGGATGAGAAATAAATCTGTGTTGGCCAAATAAAAGTAAATAGATAAAGGACAAACTGTGCAAGAGGGTCAACTCTTTTTCTAATATGTTTTTATTGATTTTAGAGAGAGAGGAAGGGGGAGGGAGAGAAAGAGGAAGAAACGGAGGGAGAAACATCCATTGGCTGCCTTGTACTGGGGATCAAGCCCACAATCAGAGCATGTGCCCTGACTGGGAATCGAACTGGTGACCTTTTGGTGCATGGGATGATGCTCAACCAACTGAGCCACACTGGCCAGGGAAAGAAGATCAATTCTTTAAAAACAGTTTTTAATTAAAGAAATAATAAATTTTCATTGCAGACAAATTAAAACACCTGGTCAAATAAAAAGAAAGACTATCACCTGTTTGGGAACATATCCTTTCAGACATTTTCTTTGCTCATATACATGTATATATATCGTCATACCCCAAGATACGGCTGATTGGGTTAAAAGAATTATACTTTATGAGGAATTCCATTTAATATTGCTATTTTGGCTTCAAAGGCATTTCGAAATATTTGTGAAGACTGCAGTGACTTGGGGCATGTTGCAAGCACTTGAATGCTAAAGAATATGAGTCATCTTTGTAGCAATGGTTGACTTAGTAGTCCTGTTCGAGGAATCCTTGTGGTTTGCTGGTTCAGAGCAGTAGTAATCTGGTGCAGGATGACCCCTATGATGCCCTTATGTGTTTGGTGAGTGTACTAATATTTGCCTTATTTCTATTGACTTCTTTTTACATGACTTTTCCCCTTTGGAGACTGAAAAGGTGAAGATCACGTGTGATTTGCTTGTGAGCATTGCTTTTAATGTAGGTGAGTAATAGCCACAAAAGAGCTTAATGAGAGCAAGATAAAGGGTTGTAGAATAATTAATGAAGGGAAACTACCCTCAAATAGGTATGGAGTGGTCTCCAGTCCCCTTTCAGTGGTGGGATCCAAAGAAGTCACCCTGCAGGAACACCACACCCACCAGCATGCCTGGCGCAAGAACTTGCTTGCGTGCAGTGCTGTTACAAAGAAGCATCAGCCCTGGCCAGTTTGGCTCAGCAGGTCATGGGGTCAGCCCAGGAATCAAAGGTCATGGGGTCAATTCCCAGCCAAAGGCATGTACCAAGGGCATGGCCCAAAGGCAGGTGTGGGAGGCAAACCAATCAATGTTTCTCTCTCTCTGTCCTCCTCCACACCTTCTCCTCTCCCTCCCTTCCCCTCTCTCTAAAAAATCAATGGAAAAAAGGTATCCTCTGGTGAGGATTAAAAACAAAAACAGCCTCAAAGGCTTCAAAAATACTATCACAGTCTAAATGTAACTTGATGACGTAAAAATTAATGGCTCTTACCATTGATGTTACTGGTAGATCAAACTATAGTCATCAACCGAAGAATAATCTGGGTCATCTGCAAAGAGCAGAACACAAAGCAACATGAAGCCAACATTTTTTTCATAGGATCTTAGCCCTTTCAAATCAAGGCACTTGACTCAAAGATTCTATGACTGCCCTTTTGTAAGAAGGCAACAAAGCACACAAATGGTAGTCATAACTACAAACCAGAGAATATTCTGGAAATTCCTATTATTATTATTATTTTGTCCTTTTTCATCCACATCTAGCTAGCTGCCCCTACAGTAAAGTCATCTTCAAATATGGACAAAAATAAGTCCCACATTATCATGTAATTATAAGACAATAAGAAATAAAATAATGTAGATCCTTATGTTCTTCAAAGATATAATTTCAGCCATTAATTTTTTTCCCCAGTTACTAAATTTTTGCTAAGCTGTTCCATGCAGCAATAGCTGTCTCTCCCCTCATTCCCTTGAACATAGTTAAGTATATCTTTCTTTTATTCAAATAATAGATATTTGTTCTGTACCTATTATATGCCCAGTACTGTGTTAGGTATTGTGAGTGGTACAGGAAAAAGAAAAGTGCCTACCCTCAAGGATCTCCTCATTATCCAAAGAACATAACTAACAAAAAATGCTAAAATGCATGTTTCTCCCAGAGATATGGTAACAGTTTGGGGAGGGGCGGGGGGACCAGTGACTAGTGAAAAATCCAATTATGGGCAATGCATAAAACATACAATATTAAGTTAATGGTTTTAGATAGCTATGCCTTCTGTAAATTGTATTTCTGTATAATCCAATGGAAACTCAGCTCTTCCATTCTCATGGTCCAAGATAAAATAATCTCTTAAGTAAGACTGCCTTCTAAGAAGTTTTTTTTGGCACTCCAGGAGCTAAATTCTCTTGGATAGCTATAAAATAGACAATTACCAAATTCCTCTGTGTGACACACAGCATTATCATAAGATTCTAATACAGACTTATTGTTTCAGAAATTTGATTCTAATTATTCCCTTCTTTCCCTTTATTTCACAATTCTAGCTACTCAACCTTACAGAAACCCTGACAAGCATTTCCAAAGGCCTTTCTTGCTGGCATACCTGGTAAACCCTTAGGAATCGGGAGAGGTCCTCTCCTGTAAGAAATGAAAACCAAAGTCTTTCAGAGAAGTTCTTGTTTTCCTAGTTTTTTACATCACACAACAAGCATTTTGCACTCTCCTCAGATCCGGCTTCTGCTTTAGAGGGTCAAGAAAGTTCCGATGGCCAAAACCGGTTTGGCTCAGTGGATAGAGCGTCAGCCTGTGGACTGAAAGGTCTCAGGTTCGATTCCGGTCAAGGGCATGTACCTGGGTTGTGGGCATATCCCCAGTAGGAGATGTGCAGGAGGCAGCTGATCGATGTTTCTCTCTCATCGATGTTTCTAACTCTCTATCTCTCTCCCTTCCTCTCTGTAAAATATCAATAAAATATATTTAAAAAAAAAAAAAAAGAAAGTTCCGATGAAGCCAAAGGCCTGCAGCACTGACTACTGGAATGCAAGATGCAGACATTCTGCTCTGCTGAGGAGCGAGATGCACCGTGGTCAGATGCACAGGGCCCTGCCCCCGCAACCAGACTGGCAGGAGGAACGTCTCAGCTGTGTGGGCAAGACTTCCTGATCTTGTACACTGGCATCTTTGTGTGTGAAATGGGAAGTGCAAACAGCTCCCACCTTACTGTGAGGCTTGGAAGAGCTAATTCCTATGACCTGTTTTGAATAATGATGATGATCATGCCATCTTCCCCTCCCCCAGCAAAAAAACCCACCCCATTATCTTTTTAAAAACTGGATTGAAAATTCAACAACTTAGACTTCAAGGTGACTGTATAGTATATAAAACAAAAGTTCCTCTTCTCTCAGGATGTTTTATGTCAGGGGCAGCAAACTTTTCTGTCAAGAGCCAGATGGTAAGTGATTTAGGCTTTGCTGGCTTCAGTCACTTCTCCTGCAACTCTAGTCAACTCTAGTGGGAAAGCAGCTGTAGACATAATGTAAACAAACGAGTGTGGTCATGTTATAATACAACTTTATATAGCCTTAGCCGGCGTGGCTCAGTTGGTTGGATGCCATCTCATGCACCAGGGGTCACTGGTTCAATTCCCGGTCAGGGCACAGGCTTGATCCCCAGTAGGGGCTTGGTTGCATGCAGGAGGCAGCTGATCGATGTTTGTCTCTCCCTCTCCCTTCCTCTGTCTCTAAAATCAGTAAATGCATATTTTATAAAAACTTTATATACTGCCGAAACCGGTTTGGCTCAGTGGATAGAGCGTCGGCCTGCGGACTGAAAGGTCCCAGGTTCGATTCCGGTCAAGGGCATGTACCTGGGTTGCGGGCACATCCCCAGTAGGAGATGTGCATGAGGCAGCTGATCAATGTTTCTCTCTCATCGATGTTTCCAACTCTCTATCTCTCTCCCTTCCTCTCTGTAAAAAATCAATAAAATATATTAAAAAAAAAAAAAAAACTTTATATACTTAAGTGGGAGAGGTGGAGGTGGAAGAGGGGAAAGGAGTATAAATGGTGATGGAAAAAGTAAAAGAAAAAAACTTTATAGACAAACACAGAAATTTGAATTTCATATAATTTTCACGTCACAAGATAGTATTCTTTCCATTTTTTTTCAACCATAAAATACTCACAGGCACTACCAAAACAGGCAGGTCAGATCTGACTCACAGAGGGCCAGAGTTTGCTGACTCCTACTCTCTGCAGGCTATGAGAAAGGTATAGGACTCATGCATGAATAATAAAATTCACACTCGGGCATGATATTGTCCTCCTTGAGCTATGACTGGAGAAATCCATTTCACATTTGCCCTAAAATTGCTATTTCCAAAAATCTAGCAAATGCAATGGTAGCTGTGTTTCCATGCTAATGTCTTAGAACACTAATGACAAAAAAATGTTTATTAAAAGTATTTTTCTTCATGTGAAAGGAAGCTGGTCGTTACCTTGCTAAGCTTGGCCCCGTAGCCTTTCCTGGTGGGGCTGCATTCTTCTGGGGGCAGTAGTAATTCTCATACATGATGGGTGCTAGAGGAATCAAGAAACAAAACATGAAGAGGCAGGCATCTTCCACGGTCAACAACATATGACAAGAGAGACGGACAGAATTGCTGAAATGAAGCCCCGCCCCCGCTGCTCCATTCACCTGGGGGCATCTGTCCAGTTTTTCGTTGATTCACAAAGTACTCAATGTCCTGCTCGATGCTGCACATCTCTAAACTCTTACGGACTTCTTCATACATCTAACAAAAAGATACATCAAGGAAGAGGGATTCCATAAAACTTGTGATGTGGCTTATTAAAACAGGGGCTTTGATATATGGCTGACTCATTTCCAAATTTTATTTTGAAAAGATTTCAAAAAAAATATTGATGGGGTAAAGTAAACAGATACCAAGTCCCAAGACCAATGCCACACAGAGACACAAAGACAATTACTTGGAGAAAAGTTCTTCCATTCCATCCTACAGGTTTTCTTTGTGTTTAATTGTTCTTCTAAAGTGAATGTATCGTCTGAGTGAGAGTGGCTATTTCTTAGCAAAGGTTGTGATAACTTGATTCTGGCCCCTCTGAGATTCTGGTTCCCCATGGGGATTACTACGCACAAATTAAACTTGGATAATGGCCCAGGAATGCCCTGAAGTAAATCCTGAACCCTGGAGTGACCATTAGCTGGAGCATCGGTCAGCTGCTAGTACTTGGTGCTGTCCTGGAGTGACTCTTGGGACTTACATTCGTGGTGTAACATCTCTGCCTTCCATAGATTAAACTGTAGTCAAATCTCCTTTCTCTGCCCTCCTGCTCTGAATTTCTTAAAGAAAAAGTCATAGCAGTAAAATAGGCCAAGAGGCAGGCAGGTTAGGTGCTTATCTGGATCCTTCTATCAACCAATTGTGTGGCCCTGGGTAAGTCACTGTACCGCTCTGTGTTTCAACTGAGAGGAGTGAACTAATAAATGTCTATAGTTCTTTCCATGCTAATGGATGCCGCTGACTTACCTCATCGCTGGTGACACACTGTTTTGACAGCTGATTCACGTGTAACCACAATGCGTTCCGAAAGAAGTTTATTCGTTCATATTCTTGAGCTTCCAACGCCTACAGAAACATAACCACAGGTGAATACATATGCAGAGAAAGGGGCCATTTGTCTAGATTGGCTATGACTTAAGAAACAGTGTCACCTCTCAAGTATGCAAGCTTATTGTCCATTTAGGGTACTCCCCTCACCATCAAGGAAGCTCATAAACTCTTATAGCAAGCAAAGAATGCAGATGGATTCTAATATGGTATTAACACAAACACAATGGGGTATAATTCTGAAGGTAAGCAGCTATGATGAATCCAGACACCCTGGTTCTAACCTGAATTCCAGCTCACATTTCCAACTGCCTGAGGGGCATCTCCACCAAGGCAGCCTACCAGAGCCTCAGATTCCAAACTTTGCCCCTCCTTCGCCCCCCCCCCCCCATGAAAGAACTCAATTGGTAAGATTGGTCAAATGGTCATAATTGTTGATGCTAGTTGATGAGTACATGGGGGTCCTTGCACTTGTCTTCTGAAGTTCTGGTTTTTTAAGTTATTGCCTGAACAACAGTTTTTTAAAAATGTAAACAAATAACTTTTGGAAAATCAAGCTATTCTATAAAGTGGATGCTATTCTATTCAACAATGAATGTAATATATTAATGTATTTTTAAAATATTGAACACATTTTACAATGTAAAATTTTAAACATAATCAAGAGTAGAGAGATAGTATAATGAATTCCCATGTACCAACTACCCAGCTTTGTCAAGAATTTTGACCAACTTTGCTTCAGATTCTGTTAAAACTCCTGTGTGCTTTTTCTAATCTCTGTCGCCTACCTCCTTCCCCAGACATAACCATTGTCCTAAATTTTATCATTCCCATGCATGTTTTTATAACATGCATTGTTTTACATGTTCTCAAACCTTATAAAAATGGCTTTACTCCAGGCTTTCCCATGAGAGTGTGAAGTTAAGGAAGTAAAGCAAAAAAGAGTGTTTTAGCCCTGGCCAGTGTGCTCAATGTTTAGAGCATCAACCCACCCACCAAAGGGTCTTGAGTTCGATTCCCGTCAAGGGCACATACCTGGGTTTCAGGTTTGATCTAGGCCCCGGTCAGGGCAAGTACAGGAGGCAACCAATCCATGTGTCCCTCTCACATCGATGTTTCTCTCTCTCACTCTCTCTCTCTTGCTCACTCGCTCTCTCTCTCTCTCTCTTGCCCCCCCTCCCCCTCCCCTGCACTCTCTCTAAAAACCAATGGAAAAAATATCCTCGAAGATTAACAAACAAACAACAACAACAAAGAGTATTTTAGAAGATGGTAAAGACAGGTCAACTAAGATTAGAAACTGCAAAGTTCCCTGCATTTTCCTTATCACATACCAAGTGCATGTGAGGCTAAGCAATTTCTTAACCATTACTAGTAATTGATTCCTCTGTTTCATGCTGGTGCTAATGGAACATTAGAAGCAGGCCACTGGACCTCACACCAAGGGGATCACTGGTTCCTCCAAGAGGGCAGGGGCAGGGAGCAAACCCCAGGACCAGCAGGCTGGGACAGGCAGGGGCAATGAGGATGTGGAGACAGCTCCTTCAAGAAGCCAGGCTGTAAAGAGAGGAGAAGGTAGAGATGGGAAGCAATAGCTGCTAAGTTTTAAAGCCAGGAGGGAGCTGAGTTTGCGTAAATGGTAATGGAAGAAATCCCCATAAAAGGGAAGTGTGCACAAGACAATGGAGACAGGCAGCTGGATGGGATCCTGAGCCCAGATGGTGGGAGCAGCCACTTCTGTGCTGTATCAGGAGAAAAGGAGGGAAAGGGTATGTGTAGATCAGCAGTTTTCAAGTTTGAATTGGCATCAGAATCATCGGCAGGGCTTCTGGGCCCACTTCCAGAGTTTCTGTTTCAGGAGGTCTGGAGTTGGTCTAACAAGTTTCCTGGTGATGCTAATGCTACGGGTCTTGGCACCTCACTTTGAGAACCACTGGTAAGAAAATGTGTAGAGGAGGTAACGGAAAATGGAGGAAGTTTCCGGGTCATGTCTTACTGTCTCTTGTAAACACAATGTGCTAAAAATGAAGGGGGGCAATGGTGGAATCAAAGGCGGAGGGAGGCTAAAACGTCTGAAGCCTGTTCACCTGCTGTCTGCATTTTCCTTATCACATACCAAGTGCACGCGAGGCTCTCTAAGTAACTAATTAACCATTAATTGCTTCAGCTGTTTCATGCCTGTGCTAACGGAACACACAAGAAGGCCTTGAACAGGCTTGGACAGAGTAGGGAAGAGAGAGAAAAATGAGGTTTAGGGGGAAACATGCCAGTTCCTTCCATCCTCCACTTCATCTTCTGATTTCCAATCTGCCCTCGAGCAATTCTATCAGAATCGGTAGATACAATAAGCGGACGGCACATTTCTACAAAAGCAGACTCTCCGCCCCCTCTTGAGCAGCGTCTGGCTGGGCTACCTCGCAGGCCTTGATGTGCTCGCTCTGCCACTCCTCTCGGACCTTATCCAGCGTGTTGATGTGCAGCATATACGCCTTGTCTGCAATGAAGGTGAGGGGCTTGGGTTCAGCAAAGGGCAGGGGCAGCTCGCAGACCCACCCATCAGGCTCATCCCAGATGGCAAATGAAACTCGCAGTGAGCGCACCGGGCTCCATGAGCTCTGAACACTGGAAGGCCATAATCACTTCGCTCACCCTCCTAATATCTTTGTGAAATAAGCACTGACCCAAGCAATTAGCAAGAAATGATCCAAGGGCCCTAATCGGTTTGGCTCGGTGGATAGAGCGTCGGCCTTCGAACCAAGGGGTCCCAGGTTCGATTCCGATCAAGGGCATGTACCTTAGTTGCAGGCACATCCCCAGTGGAGAGTGTGCAGGAGGCAGCTGATTGATGTTTCTCTCTCATCAATGTTTCTAACTCTCTATCCCTCTCCCTTCCTCTCTGTGAAAAAATCAATAAAATATATATTAAAGGGGGAAAAAAGAAAGAAATGATCCAAGGAAGGAGAAGTGAGAGCAGCGGGGGAACGTTGGCCAGGGTTTCCTTTGTCTGATTCCACCTCAATAGTTTCCACCCCTTTTCATTTTCAGGAAATGTATCCAATGAGAGATGCAGAGAACTACCTTGAGCCCAAAAGGGCACCGAGTTACTTTAGCTTTAGGTTTAGACACTTCTTAAGTGACCGTGGTCATGAGAGGTTTATTTCCTGCAGGACACGCTGGGGATTAAAAGCTTGGAGCTTAGATTTCAATGATGACGAGGCTTCCAGGCGTGGCTGTTTCTTTCATAGCAGGTATGAGTTAATCAGGGCTGAAATGGGCTTTTTAAATAAATGTTCCAGAAAAAAAATCAGTGTGAGCTCCAGAACACAAAGCAGCCGCCTCATGCCCCTACCATCTCCATCCTATTACATGTACAGCAGCCAGACTGGGCAAGCCGTGGCCAGAAACTGTTAGCTATTCACTTCCTCAGTTTCCCTACCCTTTTCTCCCTTCCTTTCCCCCTTCCTGTTTCTGAAAGCCCATTGCATATCCATATGTTCTTCATTGTTAGGTATACCAGATAGATTTAGGATAAGGGAAACCCCACCACAACCCTCCCCCATCCCCGGGGAGCCCCCTCACCGGAGTCTTCTGCAGCTGTCTTCGCGGTTGCTAGTTTCACAAAAAGCTGTGAGGACATAAAGCAAACGAACAAGGGATCAGGAAAGCTGGGCCAGGATTCTATAGGCATAACAGATCTAAAAGCAATGGCTGCAAACAGACAAGTGCTAGTACAAGTCTTACCTAGGGTCCTCCCAAGAGCAAATCATTCAACTTGCCCTCTAATCTTTCGCCATTGCAAAATATCCATCAAGCACCTTGCCCTACGTCTTCCTAAAGCCATACTCCTGCCCTCTGGTTACTGACAATCTTCTATCCATATTTTATAAAATTAAATTTCTCATATACCCAAGCAGGAGGCAGCCTGGCTACAAAGAATACATGAGTTGAGCTTTGAAGAAAGATAAAAAAAAAATCAAAATTCCCTCCCCCACTTATCACCCCACTCCCTCCCCATGGCCTCCTTTCTCTAGCTCTTCCACAACCCCCAAAATGTGAAGGGTTTTTTTGGCTCCGAGGATCCTAATTAGCCCAAAGGAAGATATTGCCAGAAGCTTGGGGAGCAGGTCCCTTTCATTTAAGATCACTGATTGGCTTTAGCTTGAGATAGTAAATCTCAGAGTTTTCAGGCGGTCAGCCCTCCCAGGTACCTTTTCCTGTTGCTTCGGGTTTACCAGGTTGGCACTTCGGTGGACAGCCTGCTCTGCGTCATCTTTGTCTCGGCATTTCTGCTCATAGTTCTTCTTTGCCTGATTTATTATGAGCCAAAAGAGGACCAAAATAGGTGAGCAGAACATAACCCTGAAAAGCAGCCATCCTAGCCTGCCAAGCCCAGCGAATACAGGGCACCCTGAACAGGGCTGTGATCACCATTAGAACGTGGCTGCTCAGAAGGCTGATGCTCTTTCTTGTCTATCGCTGCAACATCTCTCTAGCCTTTTTCCCAATGATGTACGTAATGGCAGCCTGATCAAGGAAATAAAAACTCTTATTTGGCAAGCAAAGTGCATGAGCGTTAAAAACTGACCAGAACAGAAGATGGCATTTCAGATGGAAAAAAATAAAAAGACCTATCCTATATAATAAAGAGCTAATATGCTAATTAGACTGAACAGCCAAATGACCTTCCGGATGAAGCCAGGGTTGCGAGGGGCTGCGAGGGCCAAGCCCCTTGCATCGGGCCTCTAGGGTAACTATAAAATATGTGACCCAGCCCAGCCACTGTGGCTCAGTGGCTGAGCATTAAACTGTCAACTGGGAGGTCACAGTTCGATTTCCGATCAGAGCACATGCCCGGGTTGTGGGCTCAGTTCCCTGTAGGGGACATGCAGGAGGCAGTCGATCAATGATGTTTCTCTCTCATAGATGTTCCTATCTCCCTATCTCTCTCCTTTCCTCTCTCTTAAAAAAAAACAACATTGAAGGAAAGACATATAAATTTTTAAAAAACATAATCCAACATTCATAATCCTTAGAACTTAGGTTTATGAATCACTTGGTCATGGAAATTATAATTATGCTTCAATATTCTACTGTGCCTCACCAGTGCACGTGGACAGTAGCATCAATCCCATGATTTCTGTTGCATAAGAATAGTCATGTTCCTTTGTGATTTAAAGAATTCTGTTTGAGCCCGGTTTGATTCTTGGTCAGGGCACATGCCTGGGTTGTGGGCTCGATCCTTAGTAAGGGACATGCAGGAGGCAGCCAATCGATGATTCTCTCTCATCAATGATGTTTCTCTCTCTCCCTCTCCCTTCCTCTCTGAAATCAATAAAAATATATTTTTAAAAAATAAATATCAATAAAGACATATCCTCAGGTGAGGATTTAAAAAAAGATTAAAAAAAAAAAAGAAATCAAGATTGAGAATAGGGAGAACCAAGATGGCGGCATAGGTTAACGCCGGAGTTTGCTGCTTTGAACAACTACTTCAAAAGTGAAACCAAAAAACGGAAGGGACATCACCCAGAACCACAGGAACGCTGGCTGAGTGGAAGTCCTACAACTAGGAGGAAAGAGAAACGCATACGGACACTCAGAGGAGGCGCAGTGCTGAAGTCAAATTCTGAGGTGCGGAGTGCGCGGAGCGGGCTGGCGGCGGAGGGCGCGGTTGGCGTTTTCAATCGGGAGGGAGTCGCAGACTCTGAGCTCCAGATACGGGCGAGTCTTTAGGGACCCAGACTCAAACGGGAGAAGCGGGACTGTCTGGCTTCGGTCAGAGCGAGTGCAGCTTTCTCTCCGAGCTTTGCAGTGGGTGTTGGGACTCAGAGAGGCAGAGCCCCTGGGGACGGGACTGAGAGCCGCCATAACTGCTCTCTCCGGCCCGCCCTGTTGATCCTGTGCGACCCGCTCCGCCCAAGCCCTGCACAGAGGCATTTGCCGGATAGCCTCAGGCAAAGGCTAGATTAGCACCTCCCTAGAGGACAGAAGTTCTCTCATTGCTGACACAGCTGATTCTCATAGCCACTTGGCCTGGAGGTCAAACCCTCCCTGGTATTAGCTACAACAATCAAGGTTTAATTATAAGACTGAGAACAAAGACCACTAGGGGGTGCACCAAGGAAGCATAACAAAATGCGGAGACAAAGAAACAGGACAAAATTGTCAATGGAAGATATAGAGTTCAGAACCACACTTTTAAGGTCTCTCAAGAACTGTTTAGAAGCCGCCGATAAACTTAATGAGATCTACAAGAAAACTAATGAGACCCTCGATCTTATATTGGGGAACCAACTAGAAATTAAGCATACACGGACTGAAATAACGAATATTATACAGACTCCCGACAGCAGACCAGAGGAGCGCAAGAATCAAGTCAATGATTTGAAATGCGAGGAAGCAAAAAACACCCAACCGGAAAAGCAAAATGAAAAAAAAATCCAAAAATGCGAGGATAGTGTAAGGAGCCTCTGGGACAGCTTCAAGCGTACCAACATCAGAATTATAGGGGTGCCAGAAGATGAGAGAGAGCAAGATATTGAAAACCTATTTGAAGAAATAATGACAGAAAACTTCCCCCACCTGGTGAAAGAAATGGACTTACAGGTCCAAGAAGCGCGGAGAACCCCAAACAAAAGGAATCCAAAGAGGACCACACCAAGACACATCATAATTAAAATGCCAAGAGCAAAAGATAAAGAGAGAATCTTAAAAACAGCAAGAGAAAGAAACTCAGTTACCTACAAGGGAATACCCATACGACTGTCAGCTGATTTCTCAACAGAAACTTTGCAGGCCAGAAGGGAGTGGCAAGAAATATTCAAAGTGATGAATACCAAGAACCTACAACCAAGATTACTTTATCCAGCAAAGCTATCATTCAGAATTGAAGGTCAGATAAAGAGCTTCACAGATAAGGAAAAGCTAAAGGAGTTCATCACCACCAAACCAGGATTATATGAAATGCTGAAAGGTATCCTTTAAGAAGAGGAAGAGGAAGAAAAAGGTAAAGATACAAATTATGAACAACAAACATGCATCTATCAACAAGTGAATCTAAGAATCAAGTGCATAAATAATCTGATGAACAGAATGAACTGTTGATTATAATAGAATCAGGGACATAGAAAGGGAATGGACTGACTATTCTTGGGGGGGAAAGGGGTGTGGGAGATGCGGGAAGAGACTGGACAAAAATTGTGCACCTATGGATGAGGACAGTGGGTGGGGAGTGAGGGCGGAGGGTGGGGCGGGAACTGGGAGGAGGGGAGTTATGGGGGGGAAAAGAGGAACAAATGTAATAATCTGAACAATAAAGATTTATTTTTTTTTTTTTGAACAATAAAGATTTAAAAAAAAAAAAAAAAAAAAAAAAAGATTGAGAATAGTCACGGGGGGGGGGGGGGGATAAATCCCAACAAGATAAATGGGATCATATGGTATATATAATTTTGTGTCTTGGCCTAAAATATTTAAATTAACTTGCTATACTTTCCCATATTTGAAAGGTAATATTATGTTCCTACTATCTAGTTTCATCCTCAATATTCCCAAGGCTTTAAAAAGAAGAAAAGTGAAATCACTAAGAGTCATTGTATTAATAAATAACATTATTGAAATGTTATTTGAGCAGGAATATGCTCATACACAGCACAGAATTTCAGGAAAAGGCAATAAAGTGAAACTCACATCCATGGTTTTCTTGAATTGTAAGCTCCTTTGTTTATGGACAGCATCCATTATAAGCTCTGTCTGTGAAGAGAACACAAGCACTATTAATACAAACAGAAATTATTGTTAATACCATCTTATCTTGAAGGGATGTGTTCAAGATGGATTATCTCATTGAGTCCTCACACAACCCAGAAGGTAGATATACTATTTATTATTTCACAGATGAGAAAACTGCAGCAAAGAGGTTGAACAATTTGCCCAAGGTCCGATGCTGATTAATGGAGGGGGTCCATCTTTGAACTTGGGCTGCCACCATTGGGAAACATTGATCACCTTAGAACAGTCTCTTCAGCAAATCTGGGATCAAGAACATTTGGTGTCAAAAGGACTTTTTACACTTTTGTTAACGTGCCATTTATATTTTAAAAGGGGTCTTTTTTCCGTAAGCTTATATTGGCACAATAATTAGACTTATAGCCAAAACCAGTTTGGCTCAGTGGATAGAGCATCGGCTTGCAGACTGAAAGGTCCCAGGTTCGATTCCGGTCAAGGGCATGTACCTGGGTTGCGGGCACGTCCCCAGTAGGAGATGTGCAGGAGGCAGCTGATCAATGTTTCTCTCTCATTGATGTTTCTAGCTCTCTATCTCTCTCCCTTCCTCTCTGTAAAAAATCAATAAAATATATTTTAAAAAAATAATTAGACTTATAAACATTCACTTCTGTGGATCAATGACACACCCTTACCCAGCAAGGAGCCTGGACAGGATGAAGGGGAGAAATATTTGTAGGACAGCTAAAAAAAACTGTTCTCCCACTCTTTTTTAAAATATATTTTTATTGGTTTCAGAGAGGAAGGGAGAAGGAGAGGGAGGTAGAAACATCAATGATAAGAGAGAATCATTGATCGGCTGCCTCTTGCACACCCGCTACTGAGGATCGAGTCAGCAATCAGGGCATGTGCCCTGATCAGGAATCAAACCGTGGCCTCCTGGTTCACAGGTCAATGCTCAACCACTGAGCCACAACAACCAGGCTGTTGTCCTACTCTTCACTCCATCTAATCCAGAAAAGGTAAACTACTCTGTTGTGTGCACTTGGGACCAATTTCTTTATTGTGGTTGTGACATTAATACATTTATTAGCCAAAGTAATGCAGCTAATAATAAAAATGTACCTCAGACATAATAGTCGCTCCAATTTATCAAGCATTATGTGATCAGCAGTTTTCCTGTATCACAACAACCTAATACTCTTATTCCCATTTTCTTGACAATAAACTGAGGTGGATTAATTTACCAAAGGTTAACACTCAGCAAGTAGAGTTGAGATTTGAGCCCAGAAACCTGACCCTTGTTCCTAATCATGACCCCAAACTACCATTATCCCTATGGTAGCCCTATAAAAGCAATTGGGAAGATAGAAGATCAGGAGATGCAATCATTCAAAATGAGCTATGACATTGCTTTTGTGCAAAATGATATAATGCAAAATAATATGAAAATTAAACTTGAATGTGGTTTCTTTTCCGCAATATTAAGTTGCTCTCTGTTACCATAACACACAAATACAGATTTTCAAGATATCTGGAGAGAATATCTCACTTCAAATATGAGCTTTGTAGAACCCCAAGAGGCCCTCAGAGAACCGAGGCATCATCTCTGAAAGGGGGAACCAGAAGTAGCTATGCGCCTGCTAATGGTGAAGGTAAATAGACAGAGAGAACAGACAGGGCTCCAACATGATCCCCACATGGAGGACGCGTGGGCAGATCCTTGCCATTGCATGGAGCTGTGTGGTTCACATTAGCCCCTATGTGCATTTGCCAAGAGGAGGAGCTGGGTTTATGTATTTGATAACGGTTCCCGATTTTCCCTGGCTCCAGGGAGCAGATTCATTAGCAATGTTGGTCTATTCCATGATCCTTTCTAGTCCAAATATACATACTGCCATTCTTCCAGTTTGGAAGCTGCGACTATTTTATACTTTATGGCCCAAGCCAGGGCTCCTTATGCCCAAGTTCTGCATAACACCTGCTTCAAGCACCTCTCAGATGGCTACAAAGTTCTGTGAGCCAAACCTTTTCACTTCATATCATTCCTCGCTCTGCCTTCAAGGTTTCCTGGCATTTGTACATCAGTAGGATCCTCGAGAGCAGCAATCTACTCTCTCACCTGACAGGTGTAACCCAGAGTCCCAGAGGTCACACCATTGGTGACCTTTGTTCAAGGCTACTCGGTGACACCAAGTCCTGCACTGTCTGCTGCACCACCTTGATTTAAGTGTCCTCATGTCCACGGTTCACTTAGAGGGTGACCCCACTCATGGTGGCCCCTGTAAGTCAAGGGTTCTCTTTCAGGTCTCCTTGGGGAGGCGCTTCTTTGAGGACTCGGACTTCCTGCTCAGGCCAAATGTAGTAACACAAAGCAGTGCAAAAGCACAATCATCCCTGTTATAGGGTGGGGAGAAGTAAGAGGGAGGACAAAAGGAAGAGAGATTTATAAATGGCCCAAATGACCCTGCCCTAATTATGGAAATAACTACTTAGTGATCTGTTTGTCTGTCTACCCCACTCAGACTGTATTCTGAAAACTGGAAGCATCACTCTCTGGAACCAAGGAGGTTCTTTTATTTGGAGACTGCTCTCCAAATAGGCAGAACAAAACTCTGCCATGGTCACTCTGATCTCAGCTGATATGGTAAAATGACGTGGGTACCAGAGGAGAGAGTAACTGACCACGTGCTGTCTGTCAGGCTTAGGACATTCTGGGCTGGGGAAGGAACCTCGGAACCCTAAAACATCAAGACTCCTGAGAATAGCTCCTAAGACCCCACCCTACCTGCCAACCACCAGGAGTGAGAGCCTCATCTCTTACCACCCTCACCTATATTGCCTTTCACTCTGCTGGTTTTAGATTCAAGGTCACTTCCTCCAGGAAGCCTCCCCAGCCCAACAGATTAGGTGAGGTGTTCCCTCTGTATGTTCAGGTGGCCTGGATCTCCCCTACCATTTAAGGTTCATCACACTTTACCCTGATTGCTATGTTACCTCAGTCTCTCTGGCCATACTCTATACTTAGTGAGGGAACGGTGACCACATCCATATCGTTCACCACCCTCGGATAGTTGTGTAAGTAAGTATAAACTTCCGGCCAGTCATTCTACATGCACCTCCCTGCCCCAGTTTAACAAAAGAAACCAACTGATGGCTTCCCTAGATAAGTGGAAATGGCTTAATTTCCAAGAAGTGAAAAACCAAAGTGTGCAGGGTTTGAACAGTGGAAATGAGAAGTTGGCAATGACATATTTTCCCCCAAAGTCTGAAATTTTTTTTAAAGTATTTATATACGGAAGTTGGTACAACCCAGAGTTCACTGTGATACAAGTCTATACAAATGTATTAATCAACTTTGGACTTCTCCCGGAAAGCTGGGAAGGAGGCATGTCCTGCTGTAGAGAGCACACTAGGCTGTACAGGGAACTTGGATGACAATGGTAGGCTGAACACCGGCTGCTCTATTTAGACTTCAGAACATGGGCTTCTAGCGCTGAGACTTCTCTCAGCAACTTGTTAGGAGGGGACGTTTCAGAAGCCTCGCAAAATTAACAAAACTTACTCCGAAAGGACTAGGGCTACCCAGGGCACTTGAAAGATGGGGAGGAATGACCCTCCTCTCCTCTCAGTGGAAATCATGTGTGCGTGGACCTTGGTTGTCTACGGCATTTTGCTTCCTGAAGTTTGCAATTCCTCTAGAGAGGTGGGCAGGGCTGGCAATTATCAGCCCCAAAATTTTGCCCATCCAATAGTGGGTGTAATAAGGTCTACATATTATTTCTGCTCTGAAAAATACTTTGGGCCAGATAGACCCCTGAAACCTGGTACCTGAAGCTTGCATTTGTGTGGAAGTGCTTAATATGGTATTCCTTAAATCTTACAGCCTTCCTTCCTAGTAAGAGGCACACCTGTCAGAGCTTCTCACAAAATGATAATAGAGGCAAAGCAACGTTTTAGGAATTAAACAGAAGGGAGGGTCAGGCTCAATCCCGGTGGGGGGTGTGCAAGAAACAGACGATCACTGTTCCACTCTCACATAGATGTTTCTCTCTCTCTCTCCCTCTCCCTTCCTCGCTGTCTAAAAATCAGTTTTAAAAACCTTAAAAAAAATAGAAAGGAGTCAGAATAGTGGCTGGTCTAGTCTAAGTAACACTTGATCTTTATAACTTCCCAAATGTCTGCCAGTTTTATTAACTTGCTCACTCCCGTCTCCTTACGTGTAGTTGGCCAGAGTGGATCCTAATGAAAAAGAGCTTATGCACATCTGCTTTGAAGACAAGAAGAACTTGGATTTCCCAGAGCCTCAGTTACCCTACTTGTAAAACAGCTGGACTACATTCTGGTCTCCAAGGAGTGAGTCTCCTCTCCCTCTTACCCTCCCTTTACTGCCTTGTCCAGGGAAAAGCCCTCCAACTTGGCTATGCTAGACTCTACTGAAGAAAGAGGGGGTTCCCCTTTCCAGTCAGAGTCCAAATAGTGGCAGCAGATACGAAAAGAAGAGGAAAGCAGGCTGTACCCCTAAATCTAGCAAAAATTATAAAAAAGAAGTGGCCTGGGGGGGGGGTGGTAAGTGGGCACAGAACCATGAGTCTCCACATAGTTTGCCAATAAATAATCACATAGGTTAAAAGAAGAGCATGGTTACACGCCAAGGAGTTGAATGAACAAGCAAGCCTGGAGTATTCTGCCATAAGAAAGGCAACATTTTAACACACATGCAAGCCCGACCTTTTTCCGTTGTAGCTTTTGCTTTTCCCTGAATTCTTCTAGCTTCCTGGCCTCTTCTCTTAGAGTCTGTGCAAGCTGAATGTGACATTGTGCCACATTGTCTACTTCTGCAAAAGAATTTTAAAAAACAATAAGCAGATAGACATATGTCTGAATTAAAATATGCAAAACTGTACACAATTTTAAATTATATACAAAATACTGAAGCAAGTGGCTAAATTAACCGACTGCACTTGGTCACCAGCATTTATTGAGACTATCCATGTGCCAGCATTGCCCTGACCACCAAGATCTAGGCTGGCAAGTCTTTAGCTTAGCCTTTTACCAGTAGCTGTTACTAACCTACTGTACGTCCAGGACCAGGGAGAAGTTCATGGAGCTTACGGGCTAAGAGACATTCCTAAACCCACTACAATTTCAAACCCCATCCTTAGTTTTCAGTAGGTGAGCTCTAAGGATCTCTAACATCTCATGTGCCTGAGCATTTTTAAGAAAGTGATACACCAAAATTTTGGCTACCAAGAGTTATCTCTGGAAAGGTTATTGTTGATTTTTCCCCCCTTAGTGTCTACGTAAAACCTTTGCAATGAGCATGGCTTACCTCTATAATAGAAAAATTAAAATGTTAATCTTACTTGTTCTATGAAAACAAATTGAAGTATGGCACGTAAGCTAAAAAGACTAAGAGATCTGATCTAAAAATATTTTTTAATTCGTGTGTGTCAAGATAACTTGAACAAGGTTAGAAGATACATGACAATAAAAAGATATCTGCCATCCGTATAACAATTAGTAAATAACTATAGTAAAAGTATTCACAAATCAAAAGAAATATATATTCCAGTATAAAAAGTTGGTTAAAGAACTTGAAATATAAAAAAAAGATCAGCTCAATGGCCTATAAACATTTGAAAATATATTCAGAATTAACACAAAAATGCAAAAATTTAAAACATTGAAATAGCCTTGGTCAGTGTGGCTCAGTTGATTGGAGCATCATCCTGTGCACCGAAGGGTCACAGGTTTGATCCCTGGTTAGGGCACATGCGGGAGGTAATTGATCGATGTTTCTCTCTCTCTCTCTCTCCCTCTTCCTTTCTCTCTCTCTCAAATCAATAAAAAACATATCCTCGGGTGAGGATTAAAAATAATAATAAATTAAATTAAATTAAATAGAAACATAATTTTTTACCTTTCAGTTTGGCAAAATTTTTAAGCATGAAAATTTGTGGTATTGGAGAACCTGGGGGAAAACAGCACTGCTGGGGGGGGGGGGGCGGGATCAATACAACCTTTCTGGAAGAAATTTGGCATTTTGTATGATCAAAAAAATTTTAATGTAAAAGAGTGCGGCAGATCCACATGAACTGAAGTGGAAAGATGTCTATGATATACTATCAACTGAAAAACCAAATTATAGAGAGTATGCATAGTATAACCTCAGGTATGTCTGCAACTTGGATGTCTGCAATTAGAGAGAGGGAGAGAGAGACTGAGAGCTTTAAATGCATAGACAAAAGTCTGGAAAAATATATACCAAACTGCTAGCATGATTAAAAATTGATATTTTTCATTTAAAAAGCAATTTAAAAACATATGTGCCACCCCATAGATTTTGATGCATTGCCATGGTGTGATCCTATTTATCTATATGAATAGATACAAACATAACTGTGTGTATTGTATAAAAATGTTGGAGGCATATTCACCTGTAACTGCTTAGCACTAAGAACTGAATACTTGGGCCAAGGCCGGTTTGGCTCAGCGGATAGAGCGTCGGCCTGCGGACTGAAGGGTCCCAGGTTCGATTCCGGTCAAGGGCATGTACCTGGGTTGCGGGCACTTCCCCAGTGGGGGATGTGCAGGAGGCAGCTGATCGATGTTTCTCTCTCATCGATGTTTCTGGCTCTCTATCTCTCTCCCTTCCTCTCTGTAAAAAATCAATAAAATATATTTTTTAAAAAAAAAAGAAAGAAAAAAAAAGAACTGAATACTTGGGTGTTTGCTATCTTTTTCACAGCTAGTTGTCTCATTTGAATTTTTAATATAAATGTATTTTTTAATAATAAAATAAAGCTACTTGTTGGGAAAAAAGAAAACAAGTAACAGCAAATAAATATGCTTAGGAGACCCAGCCTATGCTGAAGTACCCCTGAGATAACCATGGTTGGCCTTGTGGGCATGCAAGAAACATGAAGACACTGTCCACATCTTGAGAAATGAATTTATCAGAGTTAAAGAGGGAAGAGGACACCTATGGAAAAGTTAAGATGAATATTTATTCAGTTAACCTTACAAAGCTCTAGAATCACTCAACTGGCTACAGAAGCACTTTAGGCACATGTACATACCATGCCTTGGTAAACTCCTCAGTTTGGAAGCACCAAGTATTCTGAAGAACAGAAAGCCTTGAAATTATGTTTCTATGTTTTATTTAATTTATTATTATTATTTTTAATCCTCACCTGAGGATATGCTTTTATTGATTTGAGAGAGAGAGAGAAACATCGATCGATTACTTCCCGCACGTGCCCTAACCAGTGATCGAACCTGTGACCCTTCGGTGCACAGGATGATGCTCCAACCAACTGAGCTACACTGGCCAGGACTATTTCAATGTTTTAAAATTTTGCATTTTTGTGTTAAGGCTGAATATATTTTCAAATGTTTATAGAACAGGAGATTCTGAGTAACAGGCCTGGGGAATGTGAGAACTGGACAGGACCCCTTGATGACCAAATAGCAGGGCCTCAAGCGGGACTTCAAGTGTGAGAACCACTTCTGTAAGGAAGTCAAATGCACAGCCCGACATGCAGGTGTGAAAGGTTCTCCAGCTCACGTCAACTCCGCAGAACTATTTCTCACCTTAGGAGTTGCTTTCATTTTTTCCACCCAATGTGAGATTTCTGTTCAAATGAAAACCCACCTTTGATGACAGACAGAGCTTGCCAAGAACAGTAAATACGTTTTTAAAGAATCACTTACGCTGCTTGAAGACTTCAAGGGCCCGCTTCAGGGTGCTAAAAAAAAAAAAAAAAGTGCATATATCATTTCAAGTTCTGGAAATTGGCTATACAATCTCCTTCTAATGCCACTGCATGTGCCTCTCGGCCCACAATTTATAGACTCATCTTAGCCCCCAAGCTTAAGAGGACAGCAGAAAATCAAGACTTCAGGGGGCGGAGTCTAACTTTGGGGGTGGCAGCCTGCCCATGTCACCTCCTTGTCTCCCTGCTGTTCTTCATTAATGTGCAACAAGGAAATAGTTTACCAACCTTTTTTATTTCTTTGTTACTCCTCACCTGAGAATATTTTATCCCATTGATTTTTAGACAGTGGGAGGGAGGGAGAGAGGGGAGAGAGAGAGAGAGAAAGAGAAACATTGATGTGAGAGAGACATATCAATTGGTTGCATTCCGGACCTGGGCCAGAGATTGAACCTGCAACCCAGGTACATGCCCTTGACCAGGAATCTAACCCAAGACCCTTTGATGTATGGGCAGATGCTCTAACCACTGAGAAACAAAGGCCAGGGCTCTACCACCCTTTTGACAAGCACTTTGGCCTTAAACCCTAACTATGTCTATCAGAGGCCAGATTCCCTCAGTGTAGCCAATGAGGTGACAAATCCTACCTAGCTCATGAATGAGCAGTCACTCACTCTCATAGGGCGCCTTCCTAAAGGTAATCCTGGAGGTGACAGAAACACAAGTCACCTAGATGGCCTTTCACTTCAACCTGGCAGCGAGGTCCCCACAGACCTCCCTGGCAGCGAGGTCTCATATCCTGCTGGGTGTTCCTCTCTGAGGTGTATACTCATAAAGGGAACCGACTGGCTTTTCTCACGGGACAGAACAGAACGGGGCCAGAGTCTCTCTATGAATTTACTCAGGTACCAGTCAATTGTGTAACAATATAAGAAACACCATTTGGGACCAGACTCATTCCGCTAAATATATTTTCCAAGAAGAACTATGTGAGAGAATGTGGCTATTACCCATCACATCACCTCAAAAGGTTTTGGATATTTTCCCAAACAGCTTATATTTTTTACAAATAAATGTTGTTGTTGGTTGTTTTTTGGGAGGTGGCGGTGTCAGCTGACCCCTAATCTCCCTTTAAAGTATCTAAACCCTGCTGGAATAACAGTGCAACTTGCCTAAGTCTACACAGTTTTGACCTGTGAACACGTAAATATTTTACATATTCAAAAAATAAAACTAAATGAAACAGGGAAAAGAGAAGGATCCCTAAATTTTAAAACAAACTGAAATGAACTTAATATAAAATTGGTTACATAATCACACAGAGAAAATAAAATTTTAAGTGACCTTAGAACACAGGATTCTTAGTGAAATATAGCCTAAGATCAAAAGGAACTGCAAGAAAATGGTGAACTTTATTCACAAGTTTTCTTGTTAGTAACAATAATGATATTATTTTGAAAATTTTTTATATATATTATCATATAAAGCAAATAATCATGCTAATATTGTCAGGAACTAAGATTTCCCATTTAAGAGGAAATGAATGTAAAATTAAGGAAGCTAAGTAATACCCTTAAAGTGAAATCAGAATTGGAAAGCTGATTACGAAGCCTTTCTAAGTATTGGTTCCTGTATGACTGACTGCCCATGAAGCCAGGAATGATGGAAGAATAAATAACTGTAGTAAAGAAATCTCACATTGGTGGTGAGAACTATAAATGGTGCAAGGACAGTCTCTTGTAGCTATCACAAACTATGTATGTGTATATAGGTGTGCGTGCATGGGTGAGTGTGTGTGTGTGTGTGTGTGTGTGTAAGCCTCTCTATTAAATTTCTAGTATAAAATTATATATACTGTAACCCCACCTATGAAAAAGTATACATTGAAAAGGACTTCCAGGGAAACTTAGAGAATATTAATAATGAGTTGTAGCTTCATAGTTCATTTTAACCTTTTTTCTATTTTTCCAAAATTTTCACAACTGAAATTAAATAAATTAAAAATTGTCATTATCCGAGACACTTTGCCCTCCTGGGCAGCTCTTTCTTCTGAAGTGACGGGGCTCCTGGCAGTATAAGCCAACCTGGAAACAAGAAAGAAGTGTGGCACCTACTTGATCTCAGACTGTCCACATGGCTTCTTCCTAGAGAGGCTGAGCAGATCTTTGCCATATCTCTCTTCAATTGATGCCCTAAGTGGAACAGAAGAGAGGGTTATAAGTCCTCCTCAGGGCTGACTCTTAGTTAGGCCCCTTGAAGGCAAAGCTGCACCTTTGAGAGTAGCTCAGACATAACATCACTCTCTAAAATACAAAATTCCCTCTACGTAACAGGGAAGAATTATAAAAGACCAGTGGCCTTTATCTCTAAGGTGGTCTTCTCCGGCTAGAAGTCCCTGACATAAACATTACAACAAAACCAAGCATGGCCTCCAGCCAGCACAGATTAAAATGTCAAAACTATGATCCAAGGATATGTATATATTTGGGGGTTTTTAGTGGCATAAGAGCTATTGCCATCATTTTTACTGTACAGTGGGGCCTTGACTTACGAGTGTCCCGACTAACGCGTTTTTTTGAGATACGAGCCATCTCTCGGCCGATTTTTTTGCTTTGAGTTGCAAGCTCAAAACAATTCGGGTTACGAGCCAGCTTCAGATACCCCACCGCTAGTTGGCGCAGCGAACGTCACAGTGATTTGACATACGAGTAATTTGAGTTATGCGCTCCGTCATGGAATGAATTAAACTTGTAAGTCAAGGCCCCCACTGTATATGCCAATCATAGCACCTTGACCAAAGTATAAATTCCTTAAGAAGAACCATGTTGTTAGATCCAGAGGGGATTTTACAGAACATCAACCACAACCCTTTCATTTTACAGAGGAGGAAACTGACAGAGAGAAAGGTCTAGGGCCCCAGCAGTTCTCAACCTGTAGGTCACGACCATCGGAAAACACATATAGCATATCAGATATTTACATTACGATTCATAACAGTAGCAAAATTACAGTTACGAAGTAGCAAAAAAAATAATTTTATGGTTGGGGGTCACCACAACATGAGGAACTGTATTAAAGGGTCGCGGCATTAGGAAGGTTGAGAACCACTGGCAGGCCCTTGATTAATACCACTGCTGCCCCTGGGAAGCCGGGATTAAAAGACCTGGGAATCTGGGCTTTCATCCCAGTACTCTACTTCCCTATAGGTCTCAGCTTCCAGCACATTCTATTGGGTACATGTTATGAATTGAATTGTATCCTTCTCCCTACCCAAAAATGTTGAAGTTGTATACCCCCCAGTATCTCAGAATAGAACTTTATTTGAAGAGTGGGTCATTGCAGATACAATCATTGGGTTTACAGTGGAGTATGATGGACCCTTAATCCAATGAGACTAGTGTCCACATAAAAAGATGATATGAAGACACAGGAGAAGAATGCCCTCTGAGGATGGAAGATGAAACTGGAGTTAGCAGCTGCAAATCAAGGAACACCCAGGACTGCCAGCAACACTAGAAACTAAGAAAAACACATGGAACAGATTCTCTCCTGAGCCTTCATGAGAGCATGATCCTGCAGACATCTGCTTTTAAAATATATTTTTATTGATTTCAGAGAAGAAAGGAGAGGGAGAGAGAGATAGAAATATCAATGATGAGAGAGAATCATTGATCGGCTTCCTCCTGCATGCCCTGCACTGGGGACTGAGCCTTAATCAGGAATCAAACCATGACCTCCTGGTTCATAGGTCAACGCTCAACCACTAAGCCACACCAGCAGGACTGCAAACATCTTGATTTTGAACTTCTGCCCTCAAAAACTATAAGAGAGTAAATTCCCAGTTTATGGCAATTTGTTATGGCAACTCTCGAAACTCATACACAGGGTACTATTGTCAAGGGAATCTGTTATTCTTAAGCCCATCCTGAAAGATAGTGGGGATCCCAGAATAAGAGCTGTATCCAGGGCAGGTCGACCTCTCCCTAGAAAAGAACCATGGGCCCGGCTGGTGTGGCTCAGTTGGTTGAGCATCCTGTGCACCAAAAGGTCACCATTTCGGTTTCTGGTCAGGGCACATGTCCAGGTTGCAGGCTCAATCCCCAGTAGGGAGCATCCAGGAGGCAGCTGATCCATGGTGTTTCTTTCTCATTGATGTTGCTCTCTCTCTCTCCCTCTCCCCAATAAAAAATATATTTTTTTAAAAAGAAAAGAACCAGGAGATGTACAGGAGTTCATGGGAAGAGCAGAGTCCCAGGGCACTAAGGCTGGGGATCCCCCAGTCCATAGGTGTAGCTGCTAACCTACAAGTGGTACAGGATTCCATGCATAAAGGGGTTTCACAAACACGCTTCCCTCCTCCCTACTCAGTATTGTGTTGCAATACACAATTAAGAGCCCTGACCTGGCCACCAAGTTCCTGGAGAAACCCCTTTCAGAAAAATATACCCAGCCATCATAGGAGACCATTAGTAGAGTGGAAAAACCATTAAACATGGAGTTAATAGAAGTCCTGGCTCCACTACTTAGTGCTTTTATAATCTTGGACAAGTCATTTAAACCCCCATTAAGCCTCAGAGTTCTCATCTGTAAAATGGAGCTGAAGATGTATACCCTACCTACCTTCTAGGATTAACATAATGATATTAGTAGTGGGTACAATTTACCCACCACTTGTTGTGTATCAGGTACTATACTAGGCACACTGAAGTGGTTAACAACACCGATTCCAGAGGCCAACTTTCCTAGGTTTAAACCAGATCTATCCCTTATTACGTCTCTAACCTTAGGCAAGTTACATAACCTCTCTGAACCTCAGTTTTTTCAATTGTAAAATAAGGATGATAAAACTTGCCATACAGGGTTATTATGATTGAATAACCTAATATATGCAAACTACATGGTAGCTGGCTTATATTGAGTACATCTTAAATAAATGACAACTATTAATACAATCTCATTTAGTCACACCTACTCTGCAGTATGATTATCCTCGATTTTCTATTTCTTATTTCCTACTTATATCAGGAGTTCTGTTTGTAATATATGGCCCCACAAGGGGCTCAAGGGAGCAGAGAATCTATGGATTTGGGCTACCAGTGATAAGATAGGTTCATTTTCATTGGTAACCAGTGGAAGACCTCAGATTGGAGTGCTATGTAGAATGCTTCCTTTAAAGAAAAAAAAAAGAAGAGGAGGAAAATTTGACCTGGATTTTGAAGGATGGGGAGAATTTACTCAAGCATAGAGGACACTTTTTGAGAACCAAGATGGCGGCATAGGTTAACGCCGGAGTTTGCTGCTTTGAACAACTACTTCAAAAGTGAAACCAAAAAACGGAAGGGACAGCACCCAGAACCACAGGAACGCCGGCTGAGTGGAAGTCCTACAACTAGGAGGAAAGAGAAACGCATACGGACACCCAGAGGAGGCGCAGTGCTGAAGTCAAATTCTGAGGTGCGGAGTGCGCGGAGCGGGCTGGCAGCGGAGGGCGTGGTTGGCGTTTTCAATCGGGAGGGAGTCGCAGACTCTGAGCTCCAGATACGGGCGAGTCTTTAGGGACCCAGACTCAAACGGGAGAAGCGGGACTGTCTGGCTTCGGTCAGAGTGAGTGCAGCTTTCTCTCTGAGCTTTGCAGCGGGTGCTGGGACTCAGAGAGGCAGAGCCCCTGGGGACAGGACTGAGAGCCGCCATAACTGCTCTCTCCGGCCCACCCTGTTGATCCTGTGCGACCCGCCCCGCCCAAGCCCTGCACAGAGGCATTTGCCGGATAGCCTCAGGCAAAGGCTAGATTAGCACCTCCCTAGAGGACAGAAGTTCTCTCACTGCTGACACAGCTGATTCTCATAGCCACTTGGCCTGGAGGTCAAACCCTCCCTGGAATTAGCTACAACAATCAAGATTTAACTATAAGACTGCGAACAAAGACCACTAGGGGGTGCACCAAGGAAGCATAACAAAATGCGGAGACAAAGAAACAGGACAAAATTGTCAATGGAAGATATAGAGTTCAGAACCACACTTTTAAGGTCTCTCAAGAACTGTTTAGAAGCCGCCGATAAACTTAATGAGATCTACAAGAAAACTAATGAGACCCTCGATCGTATATTGGGGAACCAACTAGAAATTAAGCATACACGGACTGAAATAACGAATATTATACAGACTCCCGACAGCAGACCAGAGGAGCGCAAGAATCAAGTCAATGATTTGAAATGCGAGGAAGAAAAAAACACCCAACCGGAAAAGCAAAATGAAAAAAGAATCCAAAAATGCGAGGATAGTGTAAGGAGCCTCTGGGACAGCTTCAAGCGTACCAACATCAGAATTATAGGGGTGCCAGAAGATGAGAGAGAGCAAGATATTGAAAACCTATTTGAAGAAATAATGACAGAAAACTTCCCCCACCTGGTGAAAGAAATGGACTTACAGGTCCAAGAAGCGCGGAGAACCCCAAACAAAAGGAATCCAAAGAGGACCACACCAAGACACATCATAATTAAAATGCCAAGAGCAAAAGATAAAGAGAGAATCTTAAAAACAGCAAGAGAAAGAAACTCAGTTACCTACAAGGGAATACCCATACGACTGTCAGCTGATTTCTCAACAGAAACTTTGCAGGCCAGAAGGGAGTGGCAAGAAATATTCAAAGTGATGAATACCAAGAACCTACAACCAAGATTACTTTATCCAGCAAAGCTATCATTCAGAATTGAAGGTCAGATAAAGAGCTTCACAGATAAGGAAAAGCTAAAGGAGTTCATCACCACCAAACCAGGATTATATGAAATGCTGAAAGGTATCCTTTAAGAAGAGGAAGAGGAAGAAAAAGGTAAAGATACAAATTATGAACAACAAATATGCATCTATCAACAAGTGAATCTAAGAATCAAGTGAATAAATAATCTGATGAACAGAATGAACTGTTGATTATAATAGAATCAGGGACATAGAAAGGGAATGGACTGACTATTCCTGGGGGGGAAAGGGGTGTGGGAGATTCGGGAAGAGACTGGACAAAAATTGTGCACCTATGGATGAGGACAGTGGGTGGGGAGTGAGGGCGGAGGGTGGGGCGGGAACTGGGAGGAGGGGAGTTATGGGGGGGGAAAAAAAGAGGAACAAATGTAATAATCTGAACAATAAAGATTTAATTAAAAAAAAAAAAAAAAGCATAGAGGACAAAGGAGGATGTTCAAGGTGGAAATAATGGAGTAAAGATGTAGAGGCAGAGATATCCAAAGCATGCTCATTAACAAGCCTGTCTGCTGGAATAGAGAGTGGTGTCATGGGTGAGAATGTATGAAACAAAAAGCAAGACGCCCTGGCCTGTCTGGCTCAGTGGATAGAGCATCGGCCTGCAGACTGAAGGGTCCCAGGTTCGATTCCGGTCAAGGGGGATGTGCAGGAGGCAGTTGATCAATGTTTCTAACTCTCTATCCCTCGCCCTACCTCTCCGTAAAAAAAAAAAGAAAAAAAAAATCAATAAAATATATTTTTTTAAAAAGGCAAATAGAGAAGGGTCTCTGTGCGAGGAACAAGCCATCTTCCCAGAAAGCCCAGAGTTGATGAGTCATAAACATAGGGTCTGTATGTAAGATGTCTCTGGGTTTCTGTCACTTTCTAAGTTCCCACGGTAAATGACTTACTAACTTAATTTCAAAAGTTACACTTTTGCCCTAACCGGTTTGGCTCGGTGGATAGAGTGTTGGCCTTAGGACTGAAGGGTCCCAGGTTCAAATCCGGTCAAGGGCATGTACCTTGGTTGCGGGTACATCCCCAGTAGGGGGCGTGCAGGAGGCAGCTGATCGGTGTTTCTCTCTCATCAATGTTTCTCTCTATCCCTCTCCCTTCCTCTCTGTAAAAAATCAATAAAATATATATTTTTTTTTAAAAAATTACACTTTTGCCCGACCAGTGTAGCTCAGTGGTTGAGCATCAACCTATAACCCAGGAGGTCACAGCTCAATTCCCGGTCAGGACATGTTTAGCCACATGTCACAAAAATTTTATAAACATATGTGTATCACACTTGATGAACTAAAAATAATAAACAGTAGCCTGGCTGATGTTGCTCAGTGGTTAGGCACTGACCTATGAACCAGGAGGTTATGGTTCGATTCCTGGTCAGGGCACATGCCCAGGGTTGCCAGCTTGATCCCCAGTGTGGGGGCTTGCAGAAGGTAGCCAATCAATGATTCTCTCTCATCACTGATGTTTCTCTCTCTCTCTCTTTCTCTCTCCTTCCCTCCCTCTTTCCCTCCCCCCTCCCTCCCTCCCTCTCCCTTCCTCTCTGAAATCAATAAAAATACACTTAAAAATAATAAGTAATATATATATGACAGATTGCTGCTATCTTTGCTTCTGTCTCTGTGTGTGGTGCCTCTAGTCCATACGAATATGCTAGGGTTCCACATGAAATTACAGCAGCTCAGTAAAATAATGCTCAAGAGCCTCGGAAGACGTCTCAGCAGCATCAGCCTCTGGCCCAGACTCAGCAGACCGAGTCCCGCGTCCCATAAGCACCCCACGCCAAACAGAGCAAGAGGAAATGTTAGGCACCCACCAAACCAGAAGAGGACTGCACTCCCTCACATAAATTATCGCTGAACAGGATGCAATGGGGGAGCCCACGCTCTCTCCTCGGTCACAGCAGCCTCCTTCTGGTAAGCACACCACCAGCAAAGGAAGCCCAAAGGCCAGGCAGGCCGCTCGCTCAGGGGCCTCGAGTCCCCACCCTCCGGTATGTGTACATACATATCTGACACTCTGAACTGATGGCAGCAGATTCTTCCTCAAAATCAGAGCACATGGGACTGGTTTCTTTTACTATGAAACTCCTGGAGAAAAATGGCCATATACTAGAAATACAGTATCAATACTTCACCATGCTTAATTTGCATATATTTCTCCCACTTGCCCATATATTTCTGTGAAACATTTTAAAAGTGCGAGCTTAGCTTTTGGGTTCCATTTGGACTTCTGTTTTTCAAACTGTGGGGCATAACCCACTAGGGAACCATAAATCAATCCAATGGGTTATGACCAGCATAAAATTCTATTTAATGTACTCACTGAAATAGAATTGAATAAAATCATAGGGTAGTGATGTGTTCTTAAACTTTCGTTGTCTGTGTGTGTGTACTGGGTGGCAGTGTAACCTGTATTCCTTACTGAGGGTTATGTTTTTGTAAATGCGGACACCCATGACTTACACCACCACCCCACTATGTCAGGGCACCACTGGATGGTCCACTGGGCAGCGGAAGCTTCAGCTATTAGCCAACACCTCCTTCATGGATGTGTCGCAAAACTGTTTCGTCTCCAGGAGAAAATGTGTAAATGTATAAAAGCCTTGATTGGAAGAGGAACACAAAAGCAAGGGGTGTTCTGCAGTCTCTCTCCTGCATAGTCACGGGACACTTGGTTGCTTGCTACTTTGTCAGCTCTGTTGGAAACAGGAGGAAGCCCACCTCCAGTGCCTGTCCAGAAAAAGGAAGGCTGCAACTTGGTGTCACCATCGTCAGCCAGGGTGGGTAGAAGAGGAGGCTGGTCGCTTAAAGGAGGAGGGGCAGTGACCAGCTCTATGGACCCCCCAGTGGATAGACCTCGCTCTGTCCACCCCTCCTGAGATGCACAGGGGGGCAGTGGTCCTTTGAATCCATTCAAGGAGAGAGGCCTCACCACCGGAGTGTGGCTACCAGTGTGTGCTCTATGATGCCTAATGTTCTCTGGAGTAGAAAGTAGAGAGACTTGGTCGAAGAAGACACTTTGATGTCTTATCTCCACGTTATGACTCTCTAACTCACTGTTAATTGGTTTGGAGCAGCCGTGGGCAAACTACGGCCCGCGGGCCAGACCCAGCCCGTTTGAAATGAATAAAACTATTGAAATAAAAGACCGTACCCTTTTATGTAATGATGTTTACTTTGAATTTATATTAGTTCACACAAACACTCCATCCATGCTTTTGTTCCGGCCCTCGAGTCAAAAAGTTTGCCCACTCCTGGTTTGGAGCCTAGCAATGACCTGGAACTTAGGCCAAAAATCCCCCTAAAGCACTCCATCCAGAATCACAATGGAGTATTCCAGATGAGTAAGTTCCACAAAACTAACTCACTTCATCACGTGTAGAATTTAAAAAAAAAAAAAAAATTGCCCTAACCGGTTTGGCTCAGTGGATAGAGCATTGGCCTGCGGACTGAAGGGTCCCAGGTTCGATTCCGGTCAAGGGCATGTACCTTGGTTGTGGGCACATCCCCAGTAGTGGGTGTGCAGGAGGCAGCTGATGGATATTTCTCTCTCATTGATGTTTCTAACTCTCTCTCCCTCTCCCTTCATCGCTGTAAAAAATCAATAAAATATATTTTTTTTAAAAATCATACCCACTAAGAAAAAGAAAAGAAGCCCTGGCGGTAACTCAGTTGGTTAGACCATCGTCCCAATGCGCCAAGGTTGCAGGTTTGACCCCAGTCAAGGCACATATAAGAAGCAACCAATGAACACATAAATCAATGGAACAACGAACTGAAATATTTCTTCTCCTGCTCTTGCTTTCACTCTCAAATCAATAAATTAAAAAAAAAAAATTTAAGAAAAAAAAAAAGGAAAGATAATCCTATAAAGCAAGCTCATATCCCAAGCCATACTGCCAGGTAGAGTGCCATGACCTGTCCCACATCTCTGTCACTGCTCCCTGTCTCTGAATCAGGCTCTGCCCCTCCTCTTCCCTCCCACTCACCACATGGGTCATGCTCATTCTCATCTCCAAGCTTGCTGTTCCCCCACATATATCTGGATACCCCTCCACCTATCAAATCCACCAAACCCTTGGAGGGCCACCTCAAGGATCTCCTCCTCCACGAAGCTCCCATGCCCCCCTCTTTTGGCCAGTCCTCCACAGTCCCCCTCTCCCGTGAGGTCTCTCAGTGTCATGGGTATCACACAACTTAATGTTTTATTACATCTTGTTTGCTGCTTCATTCATAAGTCTTATCTCTCCAACTGGTATCTAAGAACTTTAGGACAAAGATATCATTTACATCTTGGGGAGCATCCCATAACCTACGGCAGAGGCTCTTGTGAACCATGAAACACAACCATGAAGCAACATCAGCCTATGGCCCAGACTCAGCAGACCGAGTCCCGGGTCCCATAAGCACCCCACACCAGAGGAGCAAGTTCCACGAAGCAGTGAATTGTTCCTTGTTTGTGTGGCAGCATCCTGTCCTCCCTCTGTCCTCAGACAGGAAACAGCGTGTACCTTTCTTTTAAAAAGTCTTCGAACTCTTTGCAATTCTTGCGGCCGTTGTTCAGATGATGGATGATGCTGTCATAGCCAATGGTGCTAAGGATGTCCGGACTCTGGTGAAAAAGAAACAACCCTTGTCAGACCAGGAACAGCACAGATGGAAGCCCCGAGGCCTGAAGAGATGGGGGAAGCCCACAATGGGAAGTTGCTGAAACACGTTACCTCCAAGACATATGTGACCAAAATAGAAGAAGTAAGAATGCATGTAGCTGTGGAAGAATTTTTAAAATTATGAAACTGAAGGGGCCACAAAACAGGAAGGAAGTGACTGGGGACTGCGAGGCACATGGATGAGGGAACTGGCGGAGCCCCGGGCTGCTACCAGCGTCCTAAATCAGGCCAGGACTGGGAGCAGGAGAGCCTGACCCTAACATCTTTTCTCATAAAACCAATGAGCCCTGCTGAGGGTCAAGGATATTGCTGCAAAGGGCAAGCAGCCCTGAGCCAGGAGCCAGGCCCAGGAATGACAGAGAAGGTCTGGCTTCCCACTGGGAAGCATGGAGGGAAGGCAGCATTCAGCATGCTCCATGGTCCCAGTTTGGGGGCGGGGGATGGGGGGAGGATTTTTTTAAATTTAAAATTAGCATTTTATTCCTATTTTACTCTACTAGCGCTCCAAGGTTGGAGGAAGCTGCCCAAGCCTTCCAAAGCATTAGCCCTAGATGAGGTACATTATAAAACTCAAATTTCGCTCAGCTCCCCAAACCAACAAATCAGGGACTCCAAGGAATATCCACGAAAGTGTCCCCTGCGAAGTAAGGCCTGCTCCCTGGTTTCTATCCCCAAATGCTTACACTAGGTTGCTGACTCCGACTTTAATCCTCAGGGAGGCTGGTCCTGGGAGCTTTGAGCTCCTCCACCCCCAGCCCAGCCCAAGCAGACCATTCCTTCCCAGACCCCCAGTCAGCTGGGAGAGGTGCAACTCTGCCCTGGGGTGGGCGGGGGACAGCTGAAGACACCTCTCTCCTAGCCCAGGACACGGAGAAGCAGAAGTCCTCTCTCCCATTTGCTGCCACTTGTCATCCCCTGGCTGAGCAGATCGGTGGGTCCCAAAGAGGCCCAGCGGGACCAACGTCTGAGGCTGATGCCAATGTGGCTTTCAGAAACTAAACTGGCCATAAATCCCACTGCATTAACACACGCATTATTATACGTATAACAGATTCTGTACGTAGACATATAGATAAATCTAAGTTAGAAATACACTTGATTCCATTGCTAGCTGTTGTTTGAGCACAGATTTAGGCCTTGGGAAACCTAAAAAATGGCTTCCACCAAAACTTCATTTCTCCACCCACCCCTCCATACACCCACTCTTCTGTCCCAGCCAGGTAGGTTTCTCACTGCCCCCTGAAATGCAGAGCTCAGCGGCAACTCTAAGATGATGCTTACGTTATCCTCTCCTGAATGCAACCCAGCCCCTCCACTTCTAAGTTTTCTGGAAGCCTTCTGAGTAGCCAGCGCTCCCTCCTCTAGACAATCAGAGCACCCGGCTTCTGAGTTCGCTGTTTGGTGAGTAGCCTTGCTGTCCCAGCTCCACTACAAGTGCCTGTGGCTTCTTCGACATCTTCAACCACTCCTACACACACACACATGCACACACACACACACACACACACACACACACACACACATGCGCGCGCACGCACGCACACAAATCCAGCTTAAATACAGTAAAATTCCATAGGATGAAGCCGCCTATTGTGTTCCCAGCCAGATGCATTAGACAAGAACAATGAAAACCAAGACTCCTGAGTGAATGAATAGGTACAAATACCCAATATCAATGTTGGTTTTGTAGACAGAGGGTTTTCTGTTTCATGCTACTCATTTGGAAAAGGTGGTTTCCTTGTTTTAAATTAAGGGTGTGTAGACTCTTTGATCTGGACAGGGAGGGTGGAGCCAGACCAGGGTTTCCGACAAACAAACCAAGTTACCAGGCCTTCTGGCCACCAGCCTGAAAAAAACTAGAATTGCTGCTTTGGAGGACTGACTGGGCTACAGAGGCAATCAAGAAAGGAAATCCCCAACAGAAAACCAAGAGTGCCCAAGGCCAATTTCAAAACTGTGCAGGATATGGCCTTGAAACTCCTTCCTATGTTACTCAGAGAGCATGGGCCAAGTAGGAAAAAGTACTTCATGAACACCAAGATAGCATCACAGATCTGCCATCAGAAGTGAGTGTGCCATACCCATAACCCCAGTACCCTCGGTTTGGTAATCAGAGCCCTCTACACACTATTTCTTACTTCTCTTCCCCAGTTTTCCCCACACTGGTCTCTTTCCTGTCTTCCAAATGGGCAGTGTCCATTTCCACCCCAGGACTTTTGCACATGCTTTTCCCACAGTGGCAATGGCGTCTCCTTTTCACTTAAATCAGTGGTTCTCAACCTGTGGGTCGCGACCCCTTTGGCAGCTGAATAACCCTTTCACAGGGGTCGCCTAAGACCATCCTGCATATCAGATATTTACATTACGATTCATAACAGTAGCAACATTACAGTTATGAAGTAGCAACGAAAATAATTTTATGGTTGGGTCACAACATGAGGAACTGTATTTAAAGGGCCAGAAGACTGAGAACCACTGACTTAAACCCAACCTCTCCTTCAGAGCTAGTTCAAATCCCATTTTCTCTCTGAAGTTATCCTCAACTAATTTGCCCTATGGTCTCCTCTCCTTCTTCTGAATGCCTCGAGTGTTTGATACCTAGTCATCTCATTTGGCTCTAATTCAAACCATCTGACTTCAAAACGTTCTATGAAATTACAGTAATCAAAACAGCCTGGTAGTGATCTGAGAATAGACCAGTAGATCAATGGAACAGAATGGAATCAAGAAACCCACCTGTCAATTGACTTTCAACAAAGTTGCCAAAGCTATTCAGTGAGGAAATGAAAGTCTTTTCAGCAAATGGCCCTGAGACAACTGTGTAAACCTCTGGGAGCAGAGAGCCTCTACTCATTCCTCAAACTTGACATAAAATTAATTTGAGATGGATCATAGATTCAAATATAAAATATACATATATAACTAAATTATAAAGTTTTCAGAAGAACCTGTAGGAAAATACCTTTGAGAATTGGAAGTACTTCTTAAAGAAGATACAAAAATTATGAACTCCAACAGAAAAAACTGAAAAATTGGACTTCATCAAAATTAAAAACCTCTGCTCATCAGAGAAATTGTTAAGAAAATCAAATGGCAAGCCACCAAGTGGGAGAAAATATTCACGATACATATATCGGTCAAAAGACTTGTATCCAGAATATTTAAAAAATCCAACAAAATAATAATAATAATATAAGCAATCCAATAAAAACTGGGCGTAATACTTGAACTTACAAACACTTCATAAAAAGATACTTCCTATAAGATATTCCTTCGGCCAAAAAGTTCATGAAAAGTTGTTCAACATCACAGGGAAACTCAAGTAAAGCCACAGTGATATCTACTTCATGCCTACTAGAACAGCTAAAATTAAAGTCAGTATTGAATGTAGGCAAGGAGATTGAATTATCATAACTCTCATGCATTGCTGATAGAAGTGTAAAAAGGGTATGATCATTTTGGAAGATGGTGATTTCTCAAAAAGCTAAACATACACATCCCTATGCCCCAAAGTTCTGCTTATAAGTATTAGGATGAACTACCCCTAATCTCTCCTGCTTGGGCATGTAATATATATTGTTATAACCTTTTTCCCATAGCTCGGGGCAGATGGAGGTGCCTGATGGCGGCCCCTGTGGAAGCAAGATAAGATGAACTCCTCTTCGCCCGACTGACCTGTGCACTCTCCTCCCCTGACTCGCTTGAGTGACTCATGCCCTCCCCTCTCCTTGGCCAACTCACACCCACATCCTGAACCTATATAAGAGAACCTAGCCATCCCCTTGGGCTGACACCCACACAGCCCAGGGTGAGAGAAGGTAATAAAATTCCTTAAGCTCTCAAAACATCTCTTGGCCTGGTTTTTTTCAGCGTGGGCCCAACAATAAGCATTTACCCAGTGAAATGAAAACATACATCCACAAAAAAGTCTTTCACAAGAATGTTCTGAGGAGTTTCATTCACAATAGCCCCAAACTGGAAACAACCCAAATGTCTAACAATTTACGAATGATAAACAATTTGTGGTTTATTTATACAATGGAATACTACTCAGCAATAAAAAGGAAAGAACTATTGACATGAAATAGCATGAATGAAGCACAAAAACATTATGCTAGTGAAAGATGCTAAACACAAAAAGTATTTACTGTATGATCCCATTTATATGAAATTGTAGGACAGGCGAGCAGTTGTGGGTTTATTTCTATAAAAAAAACAAATAAGAACACTGATGGGCTGAGTCAGGAAGGGTGGACTGGGAAGGGCCATTTGGGAAATTCCTGGATTTGGAAATGGATACATGCATGTGACCCACATTCCTATCAAGATCTTTCTATAGAGGTGTGGACTGTACACGTATATGCAGTTTTTAAAACGCATTGATCTGTGTGTTTCATCTTACATAAATTAGACCTCAAAAATTAAAAGGAAAAAAAAATCTGATAGGAAGGAGAGGCATAATGGGAGGGAGGCTGTTACTGGAAGGAATAAGAGAGGCTCAGCCTTGGAAATGGACCTAGTCTTGGAGTCCTGGGTGAGGCAGGAGATGAACAAGAAGGGGTGAGCAGATCCAAGCACCCAGCAAACCTCCCAAGACCCAGAACGTAAGGTTTAATAACGCTCAAGTTATAAAGAGGTAAATAGTATTTAAGTTTTAATCAAGGGATTTGTACTTTTTTTTTTTAATATATTTTATTGATTTTTTACAGAGAGGAAGGGAGAGGGATAGAGAGTTAGAAACATCGATGAGAGAGAAACATCGATCAGCTGCTTCCTGCACATCTCCTACTGGGGATGTGCCCGCAACCCAGGTACATGCCCTTGACCGGAATCGAACCCGGGACCCTTCAGTCCGCAGGCCGACGCTCTATCCACTGAGCCAAACCGGTTTCGGCGGGATTTGTACTTTAACCAAAATGCCACTTAAGTTTTTTTTTTAAGACAAAAAATTCAGCAGATCCAGCAGTGAGCACATCTGTGCCACATCCAGCAGATGTATGAGCCAAAGAATAATAAAAACAGACTTGTCGTGAGCATGCCAGCAGGCAGTCCAAAGCAGGTGGGGTGTGGGTTCAGAAAAGGAGGAAGTCTAAGTAGGCTGCCCACCAGCTCTAATGCTCAAGGCTGGTTTCACTCACGCAGTCAAATCCCATGAACCCCTCCTTCATGGCCAGCCTTAAAGCCTGAGCCCCCTGCTGCAGAGGCCTCTGAACACTTGCTTCCGGGCTCCTTTTCCATGGGCCTCCAGGCAGAAGGTGCAGAAGCAAAGGGGAAGGAAAGAGCACCCACAACCTCCAAAGCCTCCATCAGAACTGCAAGTGCAGCCTCAGAGCATGCCCACATCGGGTTCTGTGCTGCCTCTCAGGACCATGCCATCACTATGTCTGTTACACACAATTTCTCCAGATGTGGGCTCCAAGGACCAGAATCAGATTGGTAAACATGCAGACCCTCTACGTCCCACCCAGACCTGCTGATTCTGAACCTGGGGAGGGGAAATAGCCATTTTTTTTACAGTCCCCCCAAGTGACTGTAACACCATTTGAGAAATGCTGCCACAGAAATTACAAAAGACCAAAGAGCAATCGTGGTTCCTGCCCAGAGGAGGAGCTGGCTACAAGAAGAAAGCAGGGTGCATGCACATGCAACCACGGAACACAGCAGAAGGGAGCCGAGAGAGAATGACTGTTAGGAAAGGGCAAAGGGAGAGGAGGCCGGAGAAGACTCCATGGTTTGCATTTCATTTTAAAGCCCCCAATTCTGAGTTTAAAAATGCAAACTGGCACTGATGCCTTTTGCAAGGACAGAGCCCCACGAGTGCAGAGGAGGCCACTGGCGTTACATGTCATACAAAGGCTGCAT